AGATTTCTTGTCAGAACTTGGTGAGCACATCCACGGCAGCATCTGTTAGCTGAAATATGTCAATTGGTATACCATCTATTCCTGGCGCCTTATTTTTTGCTATTTCCTTCAAAGCAGCTTGAACTTCTGCCTTCGTCACCATAGGCTCTGGCTCAAATGCTATTTCATTAAATTCTTCTGTATCTGCCAATTTCTTTTGATACAATGACTCAGTATATTAATTGTAATTAATTATAATAATTATGATTAGTGTTACAAAACAATTTCTATGAATTAATTAAAAACTAATTTATATCACACAAATGGAAAGGTGAAAAAATATAAAAAATAATTTTCTAGGTGGAGGTGGGAAAGTGTATCACTCTGTAGTTGAGGGCACATTTTATTATTTCTTACAATTTTCTTTCCAGAGGTATGTAATACTCCACAAACAGTTCTATGTAAGCTATTGAACTTTTCCTGGTAAGAAACCCCAGATATGCCAGCATGGTCCAGCGCAGATAACGCTAATAATTCCTTGCCGGACAGATAAAAAAAAAAAGCTCAAATGGTCCCCATTACTGATAATAAGTGACGTTAAATAACTCATCAACTCAAAGCATTACAGAAGAACGCAGATGATAATCCAAGGTTTGAATCTTTATTCTAATGGTATGCGTCAAGGATTTTCTCACTTAAGGGTCTGTCAATAGCCACATTTCAAATGCCAAATGATCTACCCTTTAGTCCATTTTATTATGGGCTCATTACTGAGTTCATATGGACTATGTATGAGAAAAATTGTACAACCACTTTGAGAGGCAGTTTGATGCTTCCTCAAAAAGCTGAACACAGAAATTCCTTATGACCCAGCTATTCCACTGCTTGGTATATATCCCGAGAACTGAGGGATAGAGACTTGTACACCAATGTTCATAGCAGCATTATTCACCATCACAAGAACATGGAAACAGTCCAAATGTCCAACCACAATAGAATGGATTGAGGTATTAAGGTACATTCACAAGATGGAATACTACACAGCATGCAGAAGTAATGATTTATTATTTTTTTTTTAGAAGCAATGATTTTGAAAATCACTACCTAAGTTGACACTGGAGAGCATTATGCTAAGTGAATGCACTCAGTCCAAGGAAAAATATTGTATAAAACGATTATTGTAGAATGAGTATTAAGATCCAACGTGGGTGGCGGGTGGAAGCAGAGGGGTGGGGTGGGGGTTAATCATAGGGATGCACAATTTGATGGGTGGGGGTGGTGAAGGAAATGGGAAATATCCAGTGTGAAAAGCAATATATTCGAACTTTGTAAATAAACCAGTATAAAATAAAAAGAAAACAATTA